TTCTCGAGAAAGGGAAGCGCTGGCTTTCGTTTTGCAGCTTCTCAGGTTGTTTATTCCCAGACACTCCAGACCTGTGCCATGCCGATCAAGCCAGACCCCCCTGGCACCACCACCCCTGATGCGTCCTATGGGCAGTCCTATGGCAGTCCCATGCACGTCGTGTTTGGGATTTGTTGGTGCGGCCAAATTCCACAGCGGGTCACTGGGTGTGGTTTTGGTGCGGGTCACGGTTGGTATTTGGTGATGAGTGGCACGGTGTGGTTTTGGTGTGGGTTTAGCTTTTCACGGGCTGTGGAAACCTCTTGAAGATGGGCATGAGAGGCACCTAGCTGCGTAGCAAGCACTTCTTGAAGCAAGCACATATGGACAAAAATGCGCGCATGAGCAACCGCCAAAAGGAAGGTCTGATGAGACCTGTCTCGTACATGGAGCTCTTTGGCATTTTCCAAAACAAAAGAGCCGAACGCGTCGCCAAGGCCATGTCAGCTATGTTGAAATATGGTCGCCATGCATGGAATATTTGAATCAGAAGGTGACGACGGGTCTCCCCGCTCAAAAGCGATATAACCTTATAGTATACCTTACTAAATCATGTGTCTTAAGCTGAACATTTTGGCAAAAGAGGCTGTGCTCAGTAGCTGCGTGGGTGCTGATTTCAAATGTTTGGCCTTATATATTTGAGAGAACCGATCCTACTATCCCCTGATCATGTTTCTTTCTGTTTCCTTGACACCACTGGCCGTGCAAGAAAGCAAGCGGTGCGGATATAAACATATCCAGCTTTACCCAGCCATATGACCTCACAAAAAAATTAACACACACAAAGTACATCAAAGTACCAGGACCCCCAAGGGGTGGTTAATGGACACCCCGAATCACAGCTAAGGGGCTAAAAATGGACACCCCGAACGAGTCAGGTCCTGGTAGGATGAAAGCCCTGACATCTATAGATACACCTACAGAGGTAGCCAGTGACCTGAACTAGGACCCTAGAGGGGTACCTATATAGGATGGTACCTATAGGATAGTCTAGTTCGGGTTCTGACCCACCTCTGCTGGCATGTTCCATCTTCCACGTCAGGTCATGGGGACTGGGTCATGAGCGTGGACGTCGACTGGGACAACAGGCGGGTGACGTCGAAGTCCACCCCGTTCGTCCGGCAGGAAGATCCGGTGGGGACGGACCTCAAGGTGGGAGAAGCCCTCGGGTGGAAGTAGAGACATCGCTGCCATTGCATGTCCCGCTTCGACCTCGGAGCCCGCTTCCTCCAGTGAACAAAGAAGGGGACCGCGCTCAAGTGGCAAGGACGAAGAAGGAGGGCCTCGGGGTCCAAGGCTGGACGCTCTTGGTGTGTTCCCTTCATTCCCAAGTGGACGCATGAAGGAGTGACACATGTGACACAACTATATCTTGGTCAATTCAGAGAACCTTGTGTCAGGTCAGGGCCCCATAGGATTTGTTATACACATGTTCCCAACGTCCTCCAGTGGCTCGGAGATGAATATCCCATGTGTTGCTTGGCATAGAACTGGCATGGAACCCAAAGCTTTTTCCGGAAAGACTCATGTTCACTCGCTTCGGAGGAACCACAGTCAAGGAATTTTCAGTGAGTACTGAGTACCCAGACGCTCTGTGACAGCCCAAAAGGTTCCTCAAAACCTATAGAGATTGCTTCGACCCCCTCCGACCCCACCAGAGGAGGATTTGGGGTCCCGACCTCCGAAGGGTTTCGCGTGACCGTCGGGTAGTCTCGGATCACTTAAGAGCCCGCTCTATGTGGTGAGTGCTGAGTGCCTGGTACTGCGTGGGGGGGGGGTCGTCGCAGTACCGGATCACTAACCTTGGTCCAGTTGGGTTGTGACGAACTTGGCACCTTACGTAGGAGTCCTGGACATACCCGTTTGGGCTCCGAAGGCCCCATCTCCTCAGGTGACCGGTGGGCACAGACCCCGCAATTCCACCCACCCCTGGCCCATCGAACCGAAACGGAGGGGGCGGCCAGGAGCCCTAGGGATACTTGGATCTTCCAACTGTGCAACAGCTCAGGCTTTTGATTGGCTGGTTCCGATGCACGAAAAGGATTGAAAGGTATACGGCATGTTTGTTGCACAGTCAGTCGCACAGTTGGAAGGTATTACACTTCAAACCAAGAGAGGTTGAGAGACCAGAACGTTCGGACCCTGGTCTGTGGTACATATGGGATGGGCCACCGGATAGGGCTGTTCAACCTCTCTTGGAAGTTTTGGGTGTGAAGGGGAGAAAATTCATAAGGCCTCCAAAAGCTCTGGACATATGTGGGTGTGGGTCACACCTGGGGCACCCTGGGCAGGACCCCGGTCAAATGAACAGATTCCTCTATTTTCGGGAGGTCAACCTACCATGGTTTGCTTGGGAAGGTATTGTGGGACACGACCCCCCAAAAAAACAAGGGTACGACTGGCGCCCCGGTCCGCAACCAGCGCCCTCACTCAGGTCGACGGCTCGTCGTGACTCGACCGGCCGGAATGTTTCGGCTCAGTCGCTGAGTGACCGTCACCTCTCTGTCACCTCAGCCGGCCCTCGGCGCACGACCTGCCGTGTGCCGTGAAAGCGGCGCCACAAAGAAACGTCCGACGATTTGTTCTTCCCCGTCTCTCTAAGCTGCGCGGCCTTGACGTCGAAAACGCGTTCGTGTGCGCGCGCGCGAGTCCCCGAGGAAGAGGAGATTCCCGACCCCTGAAGACCCGCGTCGGTGGGGGGTGTAGAGGAAAGCCATCGGACCCAGGGTGCCAGTCGACCACACCGGGTCCGTCGTTTGGCACCGGGTCCGCTGCGAAGTTTCGGCCGTGAGACGGCGTGGAATGGCGGAGAAGTGTCGGAGGTGTTTGTTTTTTTGTTCTTTCCGAGGATGTTTGGGAGGATCACCATGCTTTCGAGTTTTTCGGCCGCAAGTGAAATCATAGATTTCACAATGACTCATTGATGATCTAGTAGATGCTATCAGGTCACTGTCCCTGGATTTGAATGCTGCCCTTTTGTACCTACGGAGATACCAAGACTCTATAGTGCATGGTTACTCAACCCCTGCGCGGGGACAACCCGAACCTCATCGAACACTTGCATGCTCATCCTGACTCTGTTTAGATTGGGAAGGGTGTCATGTGACCTTTCAGAAATGTCAAACATCTACAGGTTGCTTGTCACAGTGCATGGTCCCTGACTTGTGCTAGGGATTCCAAGTACCTTCTGAAAAGGAGCCTATAGACACTCCATGCCTATAATATCCTATACCAGGATCATCCTGTCTGGCTGTCCTGGTTGGACTACCCTACCCTACTTACAGGTCTCCAGACAGGGCACCCGTTGGAAGTGCTAAGTATACATGCGTCGAACACAGCACCTTGTCAGAGGGTGGCAGGGTGGATCCCCAAAGTCCCCAGTAGCTTGGCCCCTTCGACCCAAAAAGCCCAAGAAGAAGACATACACCTCCGGCCATACCTCCTCAGAAGGTATTTAGACCCACCAAACTCCAAACCGACCCCAGTCCCACCTTCGAAACGAAGGTACGACTGGAGGCCTAGCTACCCTAAGGATCAAGGACCCTCAAAGGAAGGTTTGCTTCAAGTCCAAGGGCCCCCTGCATTCAGGGTCAGGTCACCCTCCAGTTCGGAGGGTCCGTTCTGATCCTTAGGGTACCTGGAACCCCAAACAACCAGAAACAAATCGTTGTTCCAAAATGGCCATTGAAATCCTTTACAATGGGAAATGGTTCTTTGGGGTTCCAGGTAGGGATATCTACAGCGAAGGCCCGCCTTGCCTGGCCCATCGACTCGCGGAGCCGAGACGTCGGCGCGGGTCGGCGCGGGACCGTGGCCGAAACGCGTGCGGCGTTCGACCGTGGTTTGAGGACATCTCCATGATTAAGTCGCCTGTCCTCTCTGCACTTTGCGCCTTGTCTCTCTGGGACAGAAAAATATATGCTTTGTTCCTCAAAGACCCAACATCTTTCCATGATGTTTTGACATGTTTTGACCCAAAAGAGCATGGTTGAAGATGTTTGAAGAGAGAATGTGTTCCTCCCCACAGTGGCTCAGTCCATTCGTTCGCCCACGATGCCTCGCGAGTTCCACGGATGGATCAGCAGCGGGTTCCAAGGATTTGAGAACCACCAAGAGAGGTTTATTTTGTGACCTGAAACCGGACCCGTCACTGCTATTGGGGTACCTATGCGGGATAGCCCCCCAAAAATGGTTGGGGGTGTCCTGTTACCTGTAGTCGCTAAACAATCATCACTAGTTTAGAGATGTCGGCCTACAACCTGACCATCATCATTCACTGTTACTGTTAATTAGTAGGATAGACCCAATCTATGCGCCTGCTGGTTCTTCCATACCGTGACCGGAACTTGATCTCTCCTGCTTTTCACCCAACCTAAAGGATCCTGAAGAACCTCTGTTGGCAGTGTGTAGACGAGGTGACTGAGTCGTCGACTGGGTGTGCAACTCCGGAGGTGACGCGATCCCGATTGAGTAGAGAGAGAGAGAGAGCCTAATAGAGATGGCCTACGCCCTAGTAGTAGCGAAGGCCTCCAACCTAATAGGGAGAGAGAGAGAGAGAGACGTGTCTTCCAGCCCATTTGGAGAGTCAACCTGGACTTGACGAGTTTCGGTCGTACTCTATGAGTTCATAGGACATGACCCGAATCAAAGACATTTACTTACCGTAGTACCCATTTTTTGAAGTACTTGAAGGGTCTAGGTAGTTGGAGGTTCAGGGAAATAGAGCCTTGGTAGTTGGGCCCTTTGTTGGGTCTCACTTGATTGAATAGATGCTCTATAGACTCTTGGGCCAGCCAGTCAGGTTGGTGGAGGTGGTGGGTGGTGCAAACCAGACCTTTTTGGTCCAAGATTTCTGAAAACCAACATCATCTACACCCGAAATGAACCTCTCCAGAATCGGTGGTGGTTGGAACCAGATGTTGACGTGTTTCTAGAGGGAGATCTCTCAAACAAACAATGCCTAGACGGTGGTCTATTCTAGCACACACGCTGTTCGGAGATCTTCCTCTTTTCGCACAGACCCGAACGACGTTTCACCTTTGGGATGATGGTTCAGCCACGACGTTTTCGTGTGAAACCACCGACAGGTGCCGTCGCCTCTCAGGTGCAGTTGCCTTCGTGGGGCCTTCATCGGCCCAATTCTTGGCCGACGAAAAGTCCCCCAAGCAGATCCTCACCAAGCTCAAGGCACACAGTGGAACGCACTGGTTGGATCCACGCTTCTTTGTGTCTCTTTTTGTTAAAGTTGTGTGTTTGTTGTTGTTTTCCGGGCATTTGCCAGGCGCATCTGCCGAGTTGAGTGTTCGCTTTGAGACGGTGCGCACCAACTGGTCCAACAGATTCTCTTCCGACGGGTTCTGGGTGCAGCATTGGGAGGATTTGTTCAAGAACCTTGAGGTTTTGATGGGATCTGGAAAGGCAAGACCGGTGCAGCTTTGGATCTGCGACTCTGGATGACTCTTGATGATATTCAACCCTCCAAGGCAGGATTGGCAATCCACATGGCATGGATATATGGTTTTTGGTGAGTCAAGAGTCGACACCGAGACACTCAATATGTCTAATATGCCGATCAATTGACCACCCAAATCCACGTACACCATTTGATCGACCAGTCGTTTGGGCAGTCCCAAGGTCGTGGGTCGCGGGACTGGGGCTTTCAGAAGAACTGACGTGAGTGAGTAGCGACTGAGTCGACCTATGGCCCCAGGAAAGTACCTGGGGCCGCTTCAGACCATGTCCCATGAACTCCCCATGAACTTGTACGACCGAAAACCATCTTCGGCGTCCAAATGCTTTGGGACATGTCCATGACCTTTTTCGATCACTTTATCACTCAGTTTAGAACAAGGCCCCACTAACCAAAAGAGAATCCACTTGGTGGTGATGGGCCTCCCAAGTTGCACGTTTGGTTCTGCCACCAGATCCTTCCAGTGATCCCTCGGCGGTCCCGATTCGCGCGCAGCCCGCGGCACGGTGCGGCAGGAGCTGCACCTGGGGGATGAGCACCGCGCGGGGAGCGTGCCCAGCGCTGCACGCGTGAGCGCGCTGCAGCGAGAGCTCAGCACCATCTACCAGGCGCGGGAGCCAGGCTCCGCCGGGGCGAAATCGGCCCGCTGGATGCCGGCGAAGACTGGGCCCTCTGTCCCGAAGTGTTTCATGTTTTTGTGCGGAATATTTTAGAGCATTGTCTTCAAGGGAAGCGGTCAGAAAGTTGTGGAAGGCTGTGGCAATGTAAAGACTGGCCCGGTGCGTCTTTGCTTCGTGACGATCCCCGAAACAAGTGAACACCAAGAGACAATCAATCAAGCTTTAGTTTTACCATGTTTTATCTATATACACGTTTGTGTTCACTAGCTAGTTTGTTGAGTTGGCAAGGCACAACTTGCACAAGCAATGCTACAGATGAGGATCTGTCTCAACCACCTGAGGATAGTGCTGTGGGTCTTTGCAGTTCGGATCGCAAAAAGGAACTGGCCAAAACAGGCAGCTGTACTGCACGCACCGCCCTTTATGGCAAAATGCATACATACATACGGACAGACAGACAAGACCAGACAGAACAGACACAGAGACGCATAGACGCAGAGACACGGAGACAGACATTCGACATACATGTTTAAACATGACAGACAGACCAGACCAGACCAGACCAGACTAGACCAGACCAGACACAGAGTTGCAGAGACACAGAGACATCGAGACACAGAGAGATCCATATTTAAACACGTTCAACGTCCGATACTCTTGGCTGAAGCTTTCCACTGTGTGGTGACCTTCTGAGTCGTTCTGTCCATCGCAGTGCCGACTGGACTGGTGTCCGCCCGTCGTTTCGGACGGAGCCGATCACTCCGAGACATCCGTTTTTTCCGCCTCTTTGAGTGGAGGAAAGGGTACAGCTACCAGACTACGTCCTGCTTGAGCGATTTTCCTCAGACCATTGAAGAAGACGTCGATATGTTTGACCCGCCGGGAGAGAACCAATTTGAAAAAAGAGGTCGACATCCCACCTCCCTTTCGAACTGGTCTCGAGACGCCTAAGCGCCTCTGGGCTCTTGCCTGTGCCTTGGGAGCTGAATACTACGGGATGTGAAAGCGCTGCTGCCCAACTGCTGAAGTTGGAGGAAGAGTTTTCGCACGCTTGGCCCTTTGTTTTTGGCAATCAACACCTGGGAAGAGCTCTGGGCCCGCCAGAAGAGTCAAGAGTTACGGGCTTTGGACTTTGGACCGGCTAGAACCCAGCAGAAGGTCAACAAGACGACAAGGTGGAGTCACTGGATCTGACAGGTTTTTCTTGTTGCCTCTCGCACGCTCATCCAGTCACGCTTGGCTCTGGAAACGACTTGGCTTTGGCGGTGCCGCCTCGATTCCGAGGCATCCAAACAACCTGCTCCACATCGCTCCACGGCCAGTCCTTTGCATCGAACCTAGCGGACTGCCTTTGGTCGGAGGCCGTCACACACGGCCTGGATGGGGGATCTTCCTACGGACGCCAGGGGCGAAACCGCCAGTGGGTCTGTACACAGTGGACTTGAAAACAGACAGAGAGATACAGAGACGCAGACGCAGAACACAGAGACAGACACAGACAGACATACAGTATGACATACATGTTTAACGTCGTTTCTTTCTGCAAGATCCAAGTATACCACTTCCTCCAAAGTGTGTGTGTGTGTTTGTATGTGTGCACACCTTGGATTCACAGGTTACCTTTTGGTTTTTACTTGCACGGGACCATCCGTGTACTGTGCGCGATGGTCCAACCAAGCGGCCACAGTACGTGCGGATATCACGGCTGATCACTGTGACTGGCCCTTGGTTGTAACTGGAACATGACCTCTCTCTTGGCTTCGGTTTGCAGAACAGTGCTAATGAGCTTGGCAGACACGCAGCTTGAGCGTTTGGAGTCACTTTTGAGCTTTCATGGTTTGAGAATTATGGTTGGACCACCTGGCAAACATTATATAATTGACTTCCTTGTTTTACCCAGGAACCTTACCACTTAGGTCGGCCTATGGCGAACCGCAATCAGACCGAACGAACCATATCTCCAGTCTGTGTTTCATGTAGCACACGGCATTGCAATCACCAAATAGCCCCTCAAACTGGAAGTCCAGTCAAGCCCAGTCACATCTCCTCAGGTGACCGGTGGGCACAGACCCCCCAATGGCACCCCGGTAGCCCCACCGAACCGAAACGGGTTCGGTGGGCCAAGAGCCCAGTCGGGGTCGAGAACTCCGATGTCCACCGATGTCCCAGGCGCTCCCAAAGAACCACCGAGGCCGACGCGCGGTGAGGTCGGTCCAAGTGACGCGCCACGTGATGCTTCGGGGTTGATCTAGCTGGGTTGAGGAGTATACTGATTATACCAGATGCTCCCTGGGTATGCAATCTGGTGGTGGTGCCAGAGGGGTCAAGTGATCGGCAGTCCTATGACAGACATGGAGTGGTTGATAGAGTATACCTGGATCCTGAGTTATTCATGTCATATCTAGAGCTCATGGGGCGTCTGACCCGAACAACAAACAGGTACACAATTGGTTTGGCCCCATGGTGCACCCCAATTGATGGGTCAATAAGCCACTCCCAGACAGGTCGTGTCTAGGAATGCATGAAAACCACGGTCCAGCTCCTTCAAGCTACAAATGGATGAAGATAAACCCTAAGTGTCCCTAAGTTACAATGCAGATGCATGAATGTATGTAATGAAGATAAATTGATGACGGTACATATTTCATAATTCATCAATTGGATACATCCAGATTGTAAACTTAAGGAGCGTACGCCCAACCGCGGGCCAGGAGGGTGTTCAGTGGCAGGTGCCAGGGGAAAGCAGCAGGTGGTTGTTGTTGTGGTTGTAGCCAGAGACAGAAAATGCACGTAATGCAAGGCACCTTGGGCGGTTCTGTACTCGCACCTGGGGGGGGCCCTCTGATGAAACGGCGGCGGTCCCTTCTGTACCCGGCCATCGCTGGGGTCGGGATGCCATGCCGTCCCTCTAGGCGCGCTGCGTCCCAGCACTGCCCGCTATGCGCTGCACCGCCTCTTCGTGGATCGCCACGGCGCCTTCGAAGGGATCGACGCCTCCGCGACCACGGTGCGGAGCGAAAAGGGCGGGCCAGGAGGAAAGAGCCGAACACCAAAGACAGACCCTCCAGGAGTCACAGAGGGGTAGGGGTGGTGTGGCTCGTTATATACAGAGTGAGTGGATGTGACAGGGGCGAACCTGATCTCCATGGATCGCACCCCTGTGTGACTGGCTGAGTGAATTGGAGGAGTTGATTTGGGAGTCTGATAGGGTTTTCTTTTGGGGCCTCGGGCACTCCCAAGTGGCCTTACGGCATCGTTGTTCTGATCGAAGCGAGTGGGATCCAACGGAAGAACCAGGGAGAGACCAGGACCATCCAGTGTGGGCGGTCAATCCAAGGGTCATAGACCAATGGGACTGGAACAAAAAAGACATGTAAATTGTGGAAAAGACATGTATGGACCAGACTCATGGATAGGGTTGTCATGTCTACCCAGACGCTCCATGAAAACAGCCCGAGTTCAGTCCTTCAATAGCCAGACGGGTTTCTAGGTCCGACCAGTCCGACCACCGAGGGTGTACATGTAACTAGTCCCAGTCGTTTGGTCTGGGGAATGGATTACCCTACGGGATCCACAGTGTCCCGGTAGAGGTGCATGGCAACTGCTTCCAACAACTCTGGGGGAAACCGACCCTGCGATTGGGGCAAATGGATGTGGGGCCCAATATGCCAGGGATAGTTGTCTCAAGATGCCTAGGATTCGGCTGGAACATGGATGAAGATGGATGAATCGATGTGTTTCTGGATGTAGATCAAAGACTTGGTCTTGGTGGAAAGGGGGCCGCCAAAAGTATCAAAGTATCGGGCAGTTTGGGGCAGTCTATTGTAGGTGTAGGTATTGATGTGTTAGCCTTCGACAAGGTGCCATTGCAGCAGCCCCTGCCTACAAATTGAATTTGAGGGAGGGGGTGTCCTAAGGAATTTCCACTCAGTCATACTCAGTCAGTCCGTGCAATTTCCAAGGCTATTTGCAATTGGTTGAGCTGGTTTCTCTGGTTTCGGCACGGGAGTGGCCATGGCCAGACCCATGGGCCATGGCCAGACCCATGGGCCGCGGATTGGACACATCATGACAGGGTGGCACTTTTCGCCCGTCGGGCAGTGGCCCATGTACCAGGACCTGGTACCAGGACCTCGTGACCCTCCTTTTTCAATCACAAAAGATGTTCGGACACAGAAACCCTAGGGCTCCTGGCCCATATCCTCAGGTTCGGTGGTTAGACCCCCATGGCACCCACCCCAACCATCTTCGAAACGGAGGTAGGGCAGGAGCCCTAGGGAAAATCGGCCTGTAAGAAAGGTCACTGAATAAGACCTTAAAAGAGGGAGCCGAACGGCTCAGGTCCGATTTCCCTCCATGTATCGTTCATGTTCATGTGACCTGGAGTCGGAGTCGACCTGATAGGTACGAACATCTGTGGGCCACCAGGGACAGGTACTGTAAGTACCTGTTGTTGCTTCGGGTCATGTGCCATGCGAGCACTTGAAGTCGGGTCCAGGTATACCTTGGTCAACTCACAGAACCTTGTTCAGGGACGATGGATGATCTGGGTTCGAGGACGCAGATTTCTGCCACGGTGTCGAGGTTGGCACTTCACTGGTCTTGCGCCCAAGGGAGATCCTGGGCCTTCCGTGGTGGGTTCGGCTGGGGTCCGGAAAGACCTCGTGGTGCGAATCTTCCACTTCCAGGATCTTACACCCTAAGGATCATTGGACCCTCCGAACTGGAGGGTTTTGACCCTGCAGAACGCAGGGGTTTGGACCTGAACCAAACCTTCACCGACCTGAGCGTCCTTGATCCTTAGGGCATGTTTATTTTAGCTTTGGAACGTACTCCTCCTGATTCTGGTTGGAGCATTCTACATGATGCCACACTCCCTAAAATGATCATGGGCACGTGGATGGTATGGCCCCTTTTTTTTGGAGGACCAGATCTGTCCGAAGACCAAACAGGTGGTGTTCAGCTCATGTATAACCATAATGGTGTCATGGAGTGGGGCGCCCTAAATGGTGAAAACCCAAGTGACAAACCTCGCCCATTCCATGCCCCCTGCCCATGGATCCCGATCCAAAGGAGCGAACCGGAGAGGGGGGTCCAAACGTTTCTTTCTCACAGCGCTGTTCGCTGCTTCGTCACCGTTGGCCACACGAACAGAAAAACGCCTGCTTCCATGGTAACATGTCGTAACCCTTGCAGAGGACCTCCTTGAATTCCAGCGGGTTTCCTGGGGCTTCCGTGGCGGTCAAAACCTGATAGGAGCCTCCTACTCGAAGGGGTCGAAGCCTGGTCACAGGTAACTGGGGCCCCTCCAAACCCTTGGTTTTCGAGGGTCCGCATCCTTAGTAGGTCCAAGCCGGTCCAGCTTTTTCGCTGATGGGAGGGTGACTGATGGGCGAACTGTACACCTGAAAACGGGCGGGCGGTTACTCGGTCCTAGGACCAGGAAATTGTGAATTCTTCATGACATCTCCATTCTGCCCAGCTGGGTTCTTGGCAAGCTTGTCACCAAACCATTCTGAAGAAGGAACAGGGGATGTTGGAAGCGAGAGTGATAGACATCCCAGTCACGTTCCAAAAGACCCTAGATTCCGACTGAAAACGGTCGAATTTGAAAGGAACATCGCCCGGAATCGACTGTACACGGTCGTACCGTATTTGTAATTGCAATGAGTAACGTTACAACCCCAAATCCTACACTGCCAGCTCGCCGTCTGCCACTTTGAAGTCTCCCTAGCCACCCAAACTCGGAGACCTCTTGAGGTCGCACGAAATCGGATGCTGGTAGGAAGCTTTGAGCCGAAAAAACCACGTCCTTCGCCGGCCACGGCGCCGGTCTGGTGTTCCGAGGATACCTGGGACAGCAGTTCACCGACCAGCGCCCTGGGCCGCGTCCCGGAGGAGCGGAAGGGCCCGCCACGGTCGGTCGGGCGCTGGTCCGGTCGAGCAATACAAGGCATGGTTGATGGATGTTGAGTCCTGAATTGGTTGATCTGGTGGTTTCTCATGTGGTTTAA